GAGTTGAGTTTCCCCATTTCTAGAAAAGGTCCTGTACTCGCCCCGTACATTCCTATCTTCATGCCATCAATCATGCTGTTCTCTGCACATGGAATGTCCTTTTCACTTATCAGCTTCTGTCAGAATCCTACCAATCACTCAAGGTTCAGCCAAAACAGCATTCTCTGCCTTTCCTAGCTGGAGCGTTACCTCTACACAAATGGAGTTGATTTGAAAATGCTTATTGCAAACATAGTTCAGATATTTTTGACCAGGTTGGGGGCAGGGAGGAGTAAAAGACGGAGATCAGAAGTGACTAACTGTAGAGGCTGGACAGGACACAGTGCAGGTTTTCTGATCCCATGCAGACTGGGTAAAGGAGGAGTCAGAGTCCTCAGTGGTTTTTGCAGGTTTTTTTATTGGGGTTCACCAGGCATACGGCAGGCAGGGGTGCAGGAGGGCCGGGAGGCTGGCAGGCCTCCCAGCCCCCAGCAAGTCTTCACTCTATCTGGGCTCTCCGGCCTTCTCTCTCTCTCTCGGCTTCTCTTTCGGCTTCTTCTCGGCTTCTGCTGCTTCCACTGGTGTCCCCGTGACGCCGCCCTTAAGAGCACAGTCTTAGCGCAGGTGTACCCACTTCTGGTGCCCGCCATCAGGCATGCATTCAGGACCGCAAGGATCCATCATCTATCCTGATGGCGGGCACCTGAAGTGGGTACACTGCGCTAAGACTGTGCTTTTTAAGGGCGGCGTCACGGGGACGTCAGTGGAAGCAGCAGAAGCCGAGAAGAAGCCAAAAGAGAAGCTGAGAGAGAGAAGGCCGGAGAGCCCAGATAGAGTGAAGACTTGCTGGGGACTGGGAGGCCTGCCAGCCTCCCGGCCCCCCAGCACCCCTGCCTGCCGTATGGCTGGTGAACCCCAATAAAAAAACCTGCAGAAACCACTGAGGACTCTGACTCCTCCTTTACCCAGTCTGCATGGGATCAGAAAACCTGCACTGAGTCCTGTCCAGCCTCTACAACTGGCGTAGACAGCAGGACAGTTCGAAACAGGACAGCTCTATGCAGACAAAACCCTTTGAAACCTGGGGAGGGATTGCCGGGTGGCTGGCCACGAGCAGATGGTACTCGGTGGCCGACCTCCTTGCCCAGTGGGCACCTCCCCAGGAATGGCCAGAGGTAGATGGATCCCCGGCACAGCTGGAACAGGCCCTGTATGAAACAGAAGAAACCCTGAGTAGATGCAGTGCCCGCGAGGCGGCAGGAGCCGTGGGATGGGTGTTTCTCACAGGCTCTGCGAGAGTCCAGGCAGAAAGAGCAATCTAGAATCCAGCAAGTACGGGTTGAGATGCGGGAAGAGATACGGAAACTGCAACAACATTTGAGGATTCTGGAGGAAAAGGTTTGGAGAAACTGACCCACTATTCGGAGATGCCAGACTCCGTCTCAGAAAGGAAGGAGAGGGCGCTGGCCCTTTGCCCGAATCGCAGCCGGCGATAGCAAACCAACCTGCGACCCCGGAGATGCCGGACTCCTCTAGCGAGGAGGAGGAGGCTGGTCCCACGCTCCGGGCCCGCCCAGTGGTGACTCAGAAAATGAAGCGGCAGCGACCCATGGCCCCAGGGGGTCAGGCTGCTGGACCACCACAGATGACGGAATTTACTACCTATCGACCATACACCCAGGTGGAACTGGTGGACTTGGACCAACAGTTCCGCCAGAAACCAGGGGAACCCTTGGCAGCCTGGCTGCTACGTTTCTGGGACCTGGGGGTGGATGGGATTATTTGCACGGCACAAGAGATGGAGAGACTGGCCTCTGTGACTTCACACCCATCCTTGCGACAGAGACTGCAGAACAGCCGGCGGTATGGCCAGGGCGACCACACCCTCCTGGAGTGGATAATGGCTGCCATATGGACAGTCTGGGCTGATGCAGGAGATGTGCTGGAGACAGTAAGCGGATGGCAGACCCACGCCGAGCTGGTGCAGGTACTTCGGGAATTGGGGATGCGGCAGGCCATGTTTAATGTGAATACCCATGGTCCTGACGACGAGCGTTTCACAGCAGGGATGAGAGACTTGGTATTAAAGAATGCCCCCTCGTCTACTTTTGGATCCCTCATGCAGTTCTAGCACCCTATGTGATGTCAGATACATGACGTCACCACAATGATTGGGCAAAGTTGAGAGCCGGCGCTCTCAGAAAGGAATACGGGTAGTTTCTGAAAGGTCAAAAGGAATGCCAAGGAGGGCAAGGAAGCCTCTTGGCATCACAGAACCTATAAAAGTCACCCGTAACCAAATGTGGATGGATTTAATTAGGGCAGGTGTAGATGGCACTAAAATAGACGCACAGCCCAATGCATATTTATTGGAATTATGGCAGCAGCTGCGAGAAGACCAGAGGTTCACACCCATGAGAAGGACTGCTGCTCAGGGGGAGCCTGGAAGCTCCAGGCCTCAGGCGCGCACCCTGCGCCTGGAAGACCACTTGCTGCCAACCCCGACCTGGGGTGATGGCCTGATATCTTTTGAATAGGGTGAGGGCCAAGGAACCCGTCCACAGGGGACGGGCGGGGACCGGAGGCCACATGTGGAGCTTGCCATCCACTGGTCCCGACTAACGTACAAAGGGTTTTAGCTCTAGTAGACACAGGAGCAGCATGTACTCTGCTCTATGGAAATCCAGAAAGATTTCATGGGTCTACTTGTTATATTGATGGCTATGGAGGCCAGAGTGCCAAGGTGACAGCAGTGAAACTATCTCTGGGGATTGGGCGATTACCCCCGAGAGAGTATAAAGTATATGTATCGCCCATCCCGGAGTACATCCCGGGGGTGGATGTACTACGTGGTTTATGGCTAGAAACCACAGTTGGAGAGTTTCGCCTTAGAGTGCGAGTGGTAAAGGCAGTGGTGAGAGGACATGCTAAGCATCCGCCCCTAGGAAAATTGAGTTTAGTCATTTTGTGATGTATTTGCTTTTGTGGGCCATGGCTGCATTGTTTATGTTTGCTTAGAAAATTGTATATATGTAGACTATATGGCAGAAAACCCTGAGGGGGTGGACTGTAGGGTAAGGTAAAAGGTATCAGGCTTTTCTGCCCTCCCGCCATCAGGATAAATGAGGGAACCCTGTGGTCCTGAATGCATGCCTGATGGCAGGCACCTGAAGTGGGTCCACCTGAGCTAAGAGACTGATTTATAAGGGTGGTGCAGCAGAGTGCGGGGTGGTGGTAGTGCGGTGTCGAGGGTAGAGGAGTGGAGTGTACGGAGGAGAACGACGACTATAAACAATGGCAAAGAGCATGTGGCTGCTAGAACCGTTCATAAACCTGCCCGGATTGGGTTGGTTGCTTTACACTAACATGACTCTCGTTGCTGGCAGGGGTAAGACAAGTAAAACAGTAGTCAATAAAGGAAAATACCCTCCCCATGATCCCATGATGCCCTAACATTTTCACACTGTGAGAATCCAACATGTTAGACTTCCTAAATTATCTATTGATCTTTCAATATCAAAGAAGTGTTTCTTCACTATTATGAACACAATGGACCTGGTGATTTTAACATCTTAATTCAAAGTAATACCCGTTTTTTGCGAATCATCCTTCTATAATTATCAGGGGAAAAATACCTTGCACACAAATCTTTTCTTTCTGAAGTTGACATTTAATTTTTGTTCAATTGCTACTTACGGTGGCTTCCAAGGAAATATCTTGCCTAAAAGAGTGGCTTCCCAATCTTTTGAAGAACATACACATAGAAAATGGTCATTTTTATTTAGGAAAGAGGAAGCAAAGAGCATAGTCAATCATTTCTACAATTCCTCTGCACGAGGACCCAGATCTCCCTCTTGCCTTCCTTCTTTCATTTATTGGACTATAGATCCATTCACTCCCATTTACCTCCATTTCCCATGTCTATCTCCAACTCCCATAGGCAATCATTTTTACATGTTTAATGTATATTATTTTGTTTTGTGTTATTACAAACTATATACAGTTATTGAATTCTTCTGCATTTTAAATTTGTATGAGTGAATAGTGTTGTAGATCTCATTCTGGTTCTTCATTCTGTCAGTGTGATCTTTGAGAGCCAATGTGTTTTTGTGTCATTTCATCTGTTACACAGAACTTGATGATGGCAGCTTCCAAATCTAGCACCCATTGCAGGGATAGACACCAGGATTGCACTGGCTCCCTGCAAGATTCACACACTGTACATGCCTCTCAGTACCTGAGAGGGAAGGAACTCTTGTGTACATAGACATCAGCATTTCTAAGTACTGTCTGGTGCTCTCTACACTGCATATCCAAGTTTAAAAATTGTTTATAAGGTTTCCTAGCAGTCTACAATCTCACCACATTTGGCACAAAAATGAGACTATTTTTAGAGCACGCTGGGATGAAAAGATGAAGCTATTTCTTAGAAAACAGGTTCCCCACTGAGGATTAGATCAAGAAGATGTGACATATTCACACAATGAAGTAATATTCAGCCCTAAGAAATAGGAAATGCTGCCATTTCCAGCAAAATGGAAGGAGTTCAAGGGAATTATAGATAGTAGAGCAAATCAATGGCAAAGACAAAACATTGGATATTTTCATAGCAGATGATTCCACAAAGCAAAATGTTTTCAAAAACTAGTGGACACCAATAAACAAAGAGAGGCTTCTGAGGTTAAGAGGAATGGGGAGGAAGGAGAGTAAAGGATAGGAGCAGGAGAGGGGAAAAAGGGAAAAACAGGTTCTTCAGCCTCCCTGAGGGCAGATGGACCGACACTACTGTGCCCATAACCCATTTCAAGGTGTTTCTTTGCACCATAACACAGATAACGAAATGCCAAAGTAGGATGCCCTTCTCTCCTCAAAAAAATAAGTCTCAGCATTCTGTGCAATGAGGGAGAACTACTATTAAATTTCTCAGGGTGGCCCTTGTCCTACCAGGTTCCCCCGAGGTTTGAAGGTATCTGTGAGGAAGAGAGCATAGAGCATCACCAGCAGCCACCATCACTTACACAGTTCCTTCCCGTTGCCAGGATGCCAGGGGCTGCAGCTTTTGTCCACCATCCCGCACAGTCCTGGAAGCAAATATTAACAAATATCACTAATTCCAGTTTAAGGAAGAAGCAAATGCGGGTATAACGGAATCAAAGCCACAGAGCTGAGACCATAAGGAACAACTAGAAAGCAGGCCTGCTTGACTACAAAGCGTGGTTTCTTTGTATGTTCTCCTGGGAGACAACTGCAAGAATACAGTGTTACAGATTGCAACTCCATGAAAGGAGGACAGTATCACAGCACAGTGAAAGGCTGTCATTTTCTCCATTGCCACTTACATGTAGCTGCCTTGGATTACAATTCCCAACATGCAATGAACTGGACGTCCTCCTGTGAAGGGGGAAAGAGCAAGGAAGATACATATTGGAGGAGAAACACTTGGAGAAGAGGCATGGGTGGGGGGTGGCAGTGGGAGAGGGGAAGAGACACATGGAGTGGTTCCTCTTGGGACTTCAGTATTTTGGCGGAAACAATGGCAGCCATTATCTTGACTTTGTGGTGGGTTATGTGGCATATTTTGAATTTTGGATCTCTCCTTCTGTCCCAGCTCTCTAGCACCTGCCTACCTCTTTTCATGTTCTTATTGCTGCTACGTACATATACCTGGGACATGTTCTGTGCTTTGGTGCCTCACTTGACCTACTTTGGGCCTAGTCTGTTCCCCAGGAGGGGTGGGATAATTTTCAGAGTTTGATTAGGAATCTATATTTGAAATCTTTTCTTTTCTTTCTCTCTCTGCAACAAATTGAAGATCTTTGAGCATACCAAGTGTCCGCTTTCTTTGCCTTTGTGTGGATTGATGGCAAAACCTCTAGATGGGACAAAATGGGACAGTTTGAACAGTTTGGGGTCCTTGGTTACCCCTGCATGATACAATTTCAAGAGGGCAAAAATAAGCCTGCAGGAGAAATTGTTTGCCTGAGGGACTAAAGGCTCCAAACTCGGCTCTGTGTGAATACTACAGATTCCAACAAGAGCAGGTATTCCTTTCTTTTTTTTTAATTTAAAAAAAAATTTTTTTTAGAAGTGGGGTACAGGCCAGAGTCGCGGGGTGGGGGTGTGTGTGTGTGAGAAGATTCACCAGAGAGAGTGGGCAGTAGAATAGGCAGATGTGCCGAAATACACTGCTGAGGGGAGCAGCAGGGGGGACAGGAGAGGTCTGCTGCACCATGTGGGTTGCTCCCCAGCTGGCCCAGGATGGAACTCATGCAGTAAAGGCCGCAAACAGCTTCACAGTGCTGCGCTCAACCCCCTGCACCAACAGGGAGGCCCTAGGTATTCCTTTCTTGTCCTTTTCTTATCCCAAGTTGTGGGATTTGGGTCTGGCAAGTGAGATACAGAAGTTTATATAAAGTTTTATAAACTTTAAATAGATAACTTTAAATATAATGAGATATAAAATTTTATGAACTTTATTTGGGAAGATCTAGTGATGTAAGAATCAAGGAATTTGCTCAGTTTTTTTTTTTCCCTCTCTCTCTCCCTCTTTGGTGTTTTGTTTTCATTCTGAGGTGTAAATTGAGTGGCTAATGTGTTTTCACAGTCTTTGCACTAAGGTTGACAGAGAAAATAAAATAGTCACCTTTTCCATTCCTAAATAATGGAAAGAAGGACAATATCCTCAAGAGGTTATTTTTTAGAAAACCAGAGGCTGTGAGGAGCCCTGAACGTGGCAAAGCTTGACACATTATCACCGTGCAGCACAGCTGGGTGCCACAACATACACCTGTACCTTCGCCAATGACTCGGGTACCCAAACCCATCAACCATTTAGCCAAGGCTGTAGACCCACCCCAGGACATGTCTGTGACTCATGAGTGAGTTTCTCTGATGCCTGAAATCATTGGAAAGGTTTCCCTGTGCAGTGTAAAGTCGAAATGCAATGGAAATGAGGCTACAAAGTCACCAAGAAATGGTCGGCATTTTTCAGGAAAGACTAAAGACCTGTCAGCAAAGGGGAGGTGAGAGTGACAGGCAGAACTTGTCAGAGCTCGAACAGTTCACCTGGCTGGTTAAGGTTGGAGCAGGATCGTGACTACTACCTGGGGGCCCATCATTCTGCTAGGACGTGCTTGACAAAACAGAAGCAGGGTGGCTGACAGAGAAAATAGCTGCTAAAAATGCTGCTCCCTCAGGTGGCTCCTTGAGGCTCTCTTACGATGTCACTGTATTTCTAAAACAACAATGTAGCAAAATAAAGCAAAACCATTTAAAAATACCAGTTAATGGGATATGGAGATAAATAGTTCAAGAGGTGACATCATTTGTTCACACAAAAAGGGTTAGTTCTTATCTATGGTGAGGCTTTCCAGCATCCCAAGTGTATCAAGTTCTGGGAGATGGAAGAATGATTGCTTATGTGCTTCTCTAGAAATGGAGATAATTTATTAACCAAGCAGGAAGCTAATACCCGCAGGCTTGGCCTACATTTCAGAATTTCTGACAATTCTATGAATTCAGGACAGAGAGGGAGACAGAAACAACCTCTTCGTAGCAATGAAGTTTCTACTCTGGGGCCACTGAAGGCATGCTAAGGTGCTCTCTGGATTTCTGGAAAAGTTTTTCCAAAAGCTTTCAGCCTCTGGCCTTGCACTAGCTGTTATAGGTCCACTATGTCATTTATCCATGGGAAAGAGACTTAGGTCATTTGTGTGAGACAGAAATAGGACTTTAAACAAAGACAGGCTACAACTATATTTACATGTATACAGACATTGTTAATTATGGTTCTCCATCTACATATTTAGCAAAACTGAAGATAACGTAATTTGACCTAATGATGAAAAGCAATATCAAAATACATGTGTATGTGTCCATCTGTGTACACATATTCATGACAAGAAGCCAATTAACATCTGTGGCATAGAACAATAATGATACATTTCTGGACCTTTAACTTTTTAAAAAATTCTAGTTACAATGCTAAATAAGAGATTTGCCCTTGATTGTATGTTCATAGTAATTGCAAGTTGTTTACCTCTCACTTATTTCCCATTGCATGCCAAAAAGCCAGAGTCATCCTATATTTTCCATAGGTCACATCTCTGACTCATATCACAACACTAAGCCTTAATTAATTTTTTAAAAGTCTTGGAAATAGAATGTTAGAGAAGAACACATCATTTGGAGTGTTCATGATCTACTGTGGGAAATAAGCACAGCTTGTCTTTAACTGTAATATGCGGTTATGGTATTGCAGTTGATGTGTTGTTGGGCAGTCATTTACTATAAGAACTTGCCACTATACCTATACTAGTAGATTCTTCAAAGTCTTGTTTCTGCTGTGTGGTATCCTTTCATTATGGCTGATTGGTCTAGAGTTGAACTCTGAGCAAAGAGGGAACAATTAGCTTTTCTCTCCCATGAAGCAGACATTTTGACCTAGGAGGGTTTAAGGCAGCAAACACTCAAGAAGAAAATCTCCGACATGTTCATGCCCAGGTTCTGCCCTTCCAAAGATGGGCACTCACTCTTCCCTGTGTTGTAGGAGATGCTCCAGAATTCACCTGCAAGGGCTTCACCTCTTCGGTGTTTTGCTTAAGCTCTCTTTGGTTTTGCTGACTTGAAAGCAGACCCACTCTAACATAAATACAACAAACAGGGCCTCCTGGTGGTGCAGTGGTTGAGAGCTGGGCTGCGAAGCTGCCCGCAGCCTCTGCAGCACCGGTTTGATCCCCGGCCACCAGCGAGGGTCCCATATGGCGTGCAGACCTCTCCTGTTGTGCCCACTGCTCCCTTCAGCAATGTACTTAGGTCCTTCTGCCTGTTCTGCTCCCCGCTCTGGCTCTGGTGAATTCTCTCACCCTCCCGTGCTTCTGACTGTACCCAGTGCTTATATATATAAATAAATAAATCTTTAAAAAAAAAATACAACAAACACATTTAATGTGACATTTCAGTGCTAACATGGAGTTCATGATTGATGGCAAAATAAAGATCACAGAGTCATCTTTCACCCTAGCACGGTCCTTCGGGAGTATAAGAACTCCCAACAATCATAGCTGATGTGTTTACAATTATTTGAAGGTAAATCAAAGCAGAGCATTAGAAAATGATTTAAACACTATCTTCCTTTCAGAATCACACAAAAAACAGTTTATGAACCATTACTAAAATCTGTTCAAAAGGAGAGTCTCCTTTTGGGGTTAAGCTCCAGATCTGAGTATTCTCACTGACCTACTCAGGATGTACAAGTCCTAAGGCAGTGCATGGCAGTGAAGTGTCAAATTTTTTTTTAAAAAAGCAGGAAATAGAGCAGGACTCTTACCCTTCCATGCAGACTACAGTAGCAGCCACAAAATATGTAGTATCCTGTTCTGCCACATTCATTAGGCTGGATTATCTTGTCTCAGAGACCAAGGTACCTCTGGAAGAACTTAATAGGTGCATATTGTTTAGTGTGGGGGCGGGCAGCATAATTAAGCCCATAGCCTCTAATTCCTCTCAAGTGCAGATGAAAGTAACAATTTTGGTTTTCAGGGTGTGTTTCCAATTAAAACAAAATCATAGTAAGTACCTCTGGTTTCTTTCTCAAGATCTCTACCATGAAACCTGATTGTATGGTTCTGCCTTGCCATCTCTCTTTCTTCCGACAGCACCAATAGCTTGCGATACCTGAAAATCTCCATCCCGGGCATAAGTAGGCATTATAGAGTTTGTCTGATCTCCTTTGTGCCCAAAAAGAAACAACCTAAACCTGAAGGCAGTGCTGGCTAAGATTAACTGTGGTTGCTTGGGTTACAGTTTTGATATGTCTCCAACTTGAGCATCTTTCATTGACTCCTCCCCCTCTCACCAATTTATCAGTGTTTTTCACCCTTCAAGTAACTATCTACCAAAGCAGGTATTGACAGAATTCTTAAACCTACCTTTTCTTGAGGATGTTTTAGAAGACCACATCTTCTCTGGTCAAAGTGGGGATTTCAAACATCTCCTAAGGGTCTCCTGTAAAATTCAGTGAAGGAGTCTTATTGTAACTCACACTGACAATTCTCACCACATTGTGAGAGTGCTTGAACACCAAAACCTTATCCAGTTCACCACTGCACCCCTAGCACCTGCTATCATGCCTATTAGGAAGCTTAATAAATATTTGTCAAATAAACATATCTTATTTGCTTCTCTACTCAGAACTTAGTTCTCAGAGGAAGTAAGAATCATGTAGAGTCAAACTTTAGATGTCGTGCAAGTCTGACAAATTTTGTGCACTGAGTAAGAACTTAAGTTCTATTTTTTAAAAAAGATTTTATTTATGCGTACAAGACCTGGGGTATAGAGCAGAGGTGCAAGGGATGAGAGGGTTCACCAGAGACTGAGTGGGGAGCAGAACAGGAGGATTGATTTAAATACGCTGCTGAGCGGCGCGAGCCCGGGGCGGCTCCGGGGCCCTCCCGCAGACCCCACCATGGGCAGCCAGAGCTCCAAGGCTCCCCGGGGCGACGTGACCGCGGAGGACGCAGCAGGCGCTTCCCCCACTAAGGCCAACGGACAGGAGAATGGCCACGTGAAAAGCAATGGAGACTTAGCCCCCAAGGGTGAAGGGGAGTCGGCCCCCGTGAATGGAACAGAGGAGGCAGCCGGGGCCACTGGCGATGCCATCGAGCCAGCACCGCCTAGCCAGGGTGCTGAGGCCAAGGGGGACGCCGCCCCCAAGGAGACCCCTAAGAAGAAGAAGAAATTCTCTTTCAAGAAGCCTTTCAAATTGAGTGGCCTGTCCTTCAAGAGAAATCGGAAGGAGGGTGGGGCGATTCCTCTGCCTCCTCACCCACGGAGGAAGAGCAGGAGCAGGGGGAGATCGGTGCCAGCAGCGAGGAAGGCATTGCCCAGGAAGGGAAGGCTGTTGCTACCCCTGAGAGCCAGGAGCCCCAGGCCAAGGGGTCCAAGGCTAGTGCTGCCTCCAAGGGAGGAGATACAGAAGAGGAGGCAGGGCCTCAGGCCGCAGAGCCGTCCTCGGGGCCTGAGAGTGGCCCTACACCGGCCAGCGAGCAGAATGAGTAGCTAGGTGGGGGCAGGTGGGTGATCTCTAAAGCTGCAAAAACTGTGCTGTCCTTGTGAGGTCACTGCCTGGACCTGGTGCCCTGGCTGCCTTCCTGTGCCCAGAAAGGAAGGGGCTGTTGCCCCCTCCCAGCCACATTCCCTTCTCCTCTTCTCCCTCTTGTGGATTCTCCCATCATCCATCTGGTCTTCCTCCTAAGGCCAGTTGAAGGTGGTCCCTTGCAGTTTCCCAAGTTAGGTTAGTGATGTGAAATGCTCCTTGCCCTGGCCCTACCGCCTTCCCTGTTCCCAACCCTTGCAGAAGGCGAATTGCTGATTTTCTTCCCCAGTTCTTTTCCAAGTAGGTTTTGTTTACTCCCCAAATCCCTGAGCCAGATGTGGGGTGCCTACACTCCCAAACCCTGAGCGTCCAGCTTTCCCTGTTGAGTTTTTAGTCTCTTGTGCTGTGCCTAGTGGCACCTGGGCTGGGGAGGACACTGCCCTTGTCTAGGTTTTTATAAATGTCTTACTCAAGTTCAAACCTCCAGCTTGTGAAATCAACTGTTGTCTCTTTTTTGACTTGGTAGGCAAGTATTAGGCTTTGGGGTGGGGGGGAGGTCTGTAATGTGAAACAACTTGTCTTTTTCCCCCCTCCCATTGTTGTAAATAACTTTTAATGGCCAAACTCCAGATTTGTACTTTTTTTTTTTCTAACTGCTAAAACCATTCTCTTCCACCTGGTTTTATTGTAACATTTGGAAAAGGAATAAATGTTGTGCCTTTAAAAAATAAATAAATAAATAAATAAATAAATACACTGCTGAGGGGAGCAGTGGGCAAGACAGGAAAGTCTGCTGTGCCATGTGGGTCAGTGGGTCACCTCCCTGGCTGGGGATGGAACTCATGCTTCAGTAGCTGTGGATTGCTTCATAGTGCTGAGACTTAACCACTTGTGCCACCAGGGAGGCCCCTTAAGTCCTATTTTTATACAAACTTACACAATGAGAGAAAAAATAAGATGGGACAGACAAAGGAATTTCAAACATATAGAATCTCAGTTTATTTGCAGAGACTGAATTATGTATATAAAAAGATCAATCAAAAACTTGTGACTTTGTATTTGGAATCAGATGAATGGCCTCAAAAGCAAGTTTTTGGGGGGGTGGGATTATGGTGGGCTGGGGATTTACAGGAAGACCTCAAGTGATAGCTGGAACCCGCTTGAACTGCAAAAACTGGGTTAGAGTCAGACAGTCAAAACCAACCACACTCCCTCCACAAGTGTTCCTAAATAGTCATCACACCCACTCTTTTCAGTTGGATGATGAGTCAAATCAAAACTATCATCAAAGTTGCTAGGCTTTTCTTCCCCCTTGTTCTTTTTGCACCCTCGGCATACCAGGGAAGATAAAAATACAACAAAAACCTTCCCAATAAAATAGTGCACTTGGAGGAGTGACTTATTTATTGTCTTTGTCAAGTGTCCACTAAAGCATTAACTCAGCATCTCTCCCTCCCCAGAGTATGTGTGGGCGGGGGGTGGAAAGGAGAGTTGGTTTCATTCCTTCTTGATGTAAGCTTTCATCTAGACTGCCTCTGAAATAACTCTTGACCTGGAGTTTCAGCGGGACCAGGTTTAATGCAATCTCACATGTGAAACTTTAATTTTTTTCATTATGAAAACAAGAAGCAAAAGACAAGTATGGCAATGTCACAGAATTTTTTGTTTAAAATGGTTAAAATTTTTTTGTTATTAACCATTATGTTATAAACTTTACCTCAATTAAAAAAAAATGAATGGTTCCCTGTTGTCCAAAACAAGAACACAGATGAAGACAAACAAAAGAAGACATCAGGCCCAAAATAGAGTCACTTACGCTCAGTCCCATGTTAGCAAATCAAGACTTAAATACAGTTGCAGCTCTCCCAGAAATGGAATCTCAAGCCAGTCAATTATATTTTATGTAAAAGAATGGTCTTGTTTTTAGGAAATACACATTTAGGTGTAAAGGGGCATCAGGTCTACACTCATTCTCAAATAGTTCAGAAAAAAAAAAGTATGTATATGTATGAGTATAAAGAAAAAAGGGTAAAAGAAATATGACAAAATGAGGACATTTATGAAATCTTGGTGAAAGGTATTTGAGAATTCTGTGGGCTATTACTGCAACTTATTTTATTTGTGATTTTATACCAGAATAAAAAGTTTTAACAAAGAGAATTCAGGAAGGTGACCTTTTTATGCTAGAATACAAACCCTAATTTGTTCATGCACCTGACTATTAGTCATTGCCTCTAATCTGGGTCAACAATAGGGGACACACTGGATTTTTCACTTTGAGAGACCATTTACATAGTGCAATATTCCATTTTCAAATATACAATTCGGTGGCTTTTGTTGTATACTCATCACCACTATCTAATTCCTGAACATTCTTATCACTCCCAAAAGAAACCTCATATCCACTTGCAATCATTCCCCATTCCTTCCTATCCCCAACCCCCACAACCACTTTCTGTTTCTACAGATGCAAGATTTCATTTAAGTGGATTTAAATAATTTGTAAGCTTCCCTATCTGGCCTTTTTCATTTAGCATAATGTTTCCAAGATTCATGCATGTTGTAACATCTACCAGAACTTCATTCTTTTTATTTATTGAATAATATTTCACTGTATGGATATACCACATTTCATCTATTCATCCCTTCACGAGCCTTTGGCAATTATGAACAATGCTGCTATAACATTTATGTACAGATTTTTGTATAGTCACTTATTTTCAATTCTCTTGGCTAAATACCCAGAAGTAAAATTGCTAGAACACACAGTGTATTGATTTGCTAGAGCTACAATATAAACTACCATTGATTGGGCATCTTAAACAATAGTTATTTATTTTCTCATAGTTCTATAGGCTACAAGTCCTAAATCAAAATGTTATAAGCTTGGTTTCTCCTGAGGCCACTCTCTTTGACTTGCAGGTGACCAGCTTCTCACTTTGTACTCATATGAATTTCTCTCTGCCTCACATGCCTAGTGTCTCTTCCTTCTGCCTGTGTCCTAATCTCGTCTTTTAAGGTCACAAGCTATACTGGACTAAAATCCACTCATATAACCTCATTTTGTCTTATTTACATTTTTTAAGGCCCTGTCTCAAAGTCCAGTCCCTTTCTAAGGTCCTGAGAGTTAGGATTTCCTCTTATGAATTTGAGGGGCAGGGTAGAAAACACATTTCAACTCAAAACAGACAATAATTCTATGTTTAACTTTTTTGAGAAATTGACAATGTTTTTCGAAACTGCTATATCACTTCATATTGCCACCTGCAATGTATAAGAGTTCCAATTTCTCCATATCTTCAACAACACTTGTTATTGTCTAATGTTTGGCTATAGCCATCCTAGTGGCATGAAAAGGTATCTCATTGTGGTTTTAATTTGCATTTCCCTAGTGAGTAATGATTGAGGGTCTTTTCATTGGTCAATCTCTGAGAACACTTGGAGGATGTATAACATTTCTTTTCCCATTGGGTTGCCTTTTGTACCTGTCAGTCAGCCTTGAGTAGGCTTCCAGGAAAACACTCCCTTGCCATCCTTCCTTTCTCTGTTTCTAGTTCTTGTTGTCCCTTCTAAACTCCAGGCTCTATCACCATAACTCACCAAAGTCTTCAGATCCTGGAGGCTGCGGTTCCCAACTCCATCTTGGTTCTTCAGTCAGTTCTTCAGTCAGGCCTGAGCATTCAGGACCATCTGTAAAATCCACCAGCAGAAATCTAACTTGTCGCTTGCTAAAACTGTTCACCTTTAATGATGTAATTTCTAGGACCTTATTATGTTATAAGATTGGGGGATAATAATAACTGGAACATGTGCACAGGACAGAAAATGCCTTTCTCTCACTTCTAATTAGTAACATTTCAAAACTTTTTCTACAATAGTTATGCCATTGGTACTTTATGAGACCTTAAAGAATAAAAAAATTAAAATTAAGAGATTGAAAACTTTCAGTTAGTTTCACCTACATATACAAAATGCCTTTTGGAATATCAGCTCTTTTGACAACATAAAAGGACTTTTTAAAAATCTATGCAAAATTTGGTTTTTTTGTGTTAAATTGTGTGATTTTTAAAAAAAAATAACTTTAAAAAATGTCTGAGTCATTCACTCACAGAGAGTAGGAAAAAATTAATTAGGAACAGCTAAGAGCAGAGGTGCACCATCTAGTGAAGCTGGGCAAGGCTGACCCACTGACAGCTGGTAGTCAGTCTTCATGCCCTTCTGTCCTTGGGAGCAGATTAGGGACTAGAGCATTTTTTACCCCCAGCTACACCGTATGGACTTTATCCATCTGTGAGCATACAGTCCAGGAGTGTGTTTAAAATGAAGTGTCAGAGTGAGCAAGAAGTCCAGGCAGGTATAGGGAGGTGCAGAGCCATGGGACTTTGGTGCCAGGAAGATAAGGAATGTCCAATTAGGACAGAGGAACAAGAGGCTTCTGGAACAACTTCAGAAGTTTTACTAATTGCCAACAGCTGTGCTTTACAGTCTATTGATAGGTTGCTTGGTCAGGCTAGATCTTTGGAAAGTCTCAAAATGGAACATGCAATAGGTATAAGAACTTTAAAGAAAATTTTAAAAAGGATCAATGTCACAAAATATAGAATAGAACTGAATAGAGGCAGGTGACTCTAACACAATAACAAAAAAACTTGATTTGTTTTGGGAGAGCTGTATATGATTTAGGGGTACAGGTTGACACCTCTTTAGATGCTTATTACCAAACTACACCCACCACGTAGGCACCCATAATACTCCATCCTAGACCACTAAGCCCCTCCCACAACCCTTTCCCTGTAGTAACCTCAATTCTGCAGTCTTAATTCTATGGTTTCTTTTTATTTAGTTTTGTCTGTTCCTGTTTTGTTTCTTTATGTTCCACATGAGTGAAATCACCCAATATTTGTCTTTCTCCTTCTGACTTATTTTACTTGGCATAATCTCCTCCAGTTCCATCCATATTGTCACAAATGGCCCAATAAATTTTTTTAAATTGTGTTTTGATAGTTTGAACTTACTTTGGAAGCTCATACACAAGATCAAAGCACTGAAGATATTGGATATTTGTTTCTGAAGTATTGTTTTGTCTTTATAAATCCTTTAACTTTTCTTTGTTATCATCCCTGGTGCTTTGTGATTTTCTTTAGTTTTTTTTTTTTAAATGAATTAACTTCTATTTCATAATAGTACTTATCTACATAAAATATTCTTTAAGAAGATTGTTGGTTTTGTTTTCTTTGTTTACATTTCCAAACCTTTACATGTCCAAATGGGAGTGTCTGCTATATTTTTCCAAAGGCACCCACCATCATTTGGCAAATGTATAAAAAGAGAAGGCAAAGAGCACCTCTAGGGCATGCCAATACCTCCCAGGTATGAGCCAGTGCAGCACTTTATTTTGGCAAATTGGAACTTGTACAATTCCATAATAAACAATATGATTCTGCTTATTTCTCAATCATTTGAGGGGGTGAAATTATCCTCTCCCAAAATGCAAACAAAAATCCAATCTGCAGAAACAGATCTATAACATTAGCTTTCATTCTGAAACAATCAGTTTGGTTGTACTGGTCTGGCATCTAGAGAAAATCCTTCAAACATAGCCATTTGTATAATCTGCTTGGTCAAGAAATGGAACTAATCCTGCAGCTAGTGAAGGCCTGCTGTGTGGATATTACAGTTGACATCCAATGAGAAGTCTAGAAGAATATCAGGCAGATTCCACATTCTAAATATTTTAAATTCTTTCAGACACTAAATCAAATCCCCTTAGTATCAGAACCTTAGGATATTTAAAATGGAATTATCCAAAGGAAACAGAACAATAACAAAAGTAGTGTCTTTTAGGCATGACTTTGTGGTAGTATCAATTCATTAAAACTCCTCAAAAATCAATTATTGAATCAAAAGACCAGAGACACATTCTTTTTAGTTCTGTGAATATGCAGACTGCCCAGAAAGGAGCAGCAAATTACAGCTAAAAATACAAAAATTGTATTTTTTTTTATTTTTAAAAAAGGGTTCATTCTTTAAAGTATGTACTTTTTAATTTTTCTGTGCCACCCAGAGAGGGGGGGCTTACAGCATTGTTCCGGGTTCCTGGTGTAACTTAAAGGGATGCATTCATAATGCCCAGAGCCCTTGATGTCCACCAAATGAAGGCATATGTTCTCAATTTCCTTACAGCAAAAATCTGCTTAGGGGGCACCTACCTTGACTTCCAAACAGAACAGTACATCTACAAAAGAAAAAGTAAGTGATGCCTCAATGGAATATTACTCAGCAATCAAAAAAGATAAACTCAAGCCATTCACAGCAACATGGCTGGAGTTGGAAGGGATTAAGCTCAGTGAAATAAGCCAGAAAGAAAAAGAAAAATATCGGATGGCTTCACTTATATGAGGAATGTAGGGGACCCAAATAAGGCACCAGAAAAAATAATAACAATACATAAAACATAAATAGCCAAAATTAACAGGCAACTATAAATCAGAAATATTCTGCAGAGGGGGCAGAAAGGAGTAGGATCAAAACAGGGGTGGGAAGAGCGCAAGGGACCATGGTGATGGTTCACGGGTGAATGGTGGCGGGAATTTCACGGGGACTATTACTGAGATGAAAATGCACATATTGTACAAAAATGAAAAATGATGTAAAAAGCATATAAAATAAAATAATAATAAAGACAAAAAAAAAAAAAAACCCAGTAAGTGATGCCTACATCGTACCTTTGAAGAGACCTTGGGAGAAGCATCTGCTGACAGCTTATGCAACTGCTGCCACTAAAAACCTACCTGATGCCAGGAATGCAGCCAGGAGCTGTGCTGAGCTTTGCTGCTGCCACTAGAGCCAGTCCCATGGCTGGTTGCTTCACTCCTAGGCCTGCAGTCACTAAGCAGATCTAGGCATTTTTCTGATTTTCGGTGATTTCTGAGCCTGGGCGGGCGACCGGCCTGTCACTGAGATGTCCTGTGTTAACCTGTCAACCATTTCTTTGTGGAACACAGACTCTGCACTGTGTGGACACAGCATCCCAAGCACCCGAGCATCAGGTGTCCCGGCGGCAAGGGCGGGAGCTGGTGCGCATGTGCGGCGCGGTCTCCCATGAGCACTCGCGGCAGGTCCAGCGCGTCTTCCCCAGAGCCCCTGAGGATCCTGAAATGGAGGAGCAGGTCGCTGCTGCCAGGGCTGTGGCCAAGCAGGAATTTCAGGGTGAATGGTCGGCTCCAGCCTCCAAATTTATGGCTCCTCAACCTCGAGCAGTTCCCTGCTGAGGACTGGGGCGCTCAGCCCCGCGCGGAAGCCTGGTCTGCAGCGCCCACTGCCCAGGCCCCTGACTAGGTAGGAGCATCCATGGAGTGTCTTACACAGAACGTGGAAATAAGGTTGATGGGGAACAAAGATCCTTTTAAAGAGGTATCTGCTTTCTGCACTCAGGCAGCCAAAGGATATTTCTATTTAGAGGCGAAATGACTTTGCTTTCTGGAAAAAAAAATAAAAAAATAAAAAAAGAGGTCTGTTAGGAAACCTAATTGTTTGCTTCTTCAGGCCAATTTCCAAACGTGCCAGAAACTCAGGGAAAAGCACAGCAATGTGTGAAGGGACTCTGGTACTTCAGCTGCGATGAGTAGGTCTCGCGGAGCTTCCCGCCAGAGTTTATAGCTGGTTAGGGATGGTATCTCAGCAGAGTAATGTGCGCAGCGCCACTCTGCCTGGAATCTCACTGGCTGTAAACATTTCAGAAACACACATGTAAGCCAGCCTCAGCCAGGAGCCAAGACAATACAGTAATCCACTTGGACAGCTGAGAGGGTAAAGTTGGGTCAGAGATAAATAGCACTGAGTTTCTGGAGCTCACGAGCCAGCAGCTTGCAAGCCCAGGCACAGGGTTGTGGGCACAGGTATTCAGGTTGTGCCTTCCTTTAAGAACTCTTGGATCCAACTCTGTTCCTCTAACAACACTGACCTCAGATATTTAGTGTTTACCCAAGGGGATAAATATACCATATATGTATATATATGTGCATGAATGCTGAGTTTAGTTGCTAAAGTAAAATCCTCCATTTCTAAAAAATTGTCATTTAAAGTTTCTCCTGGGTTTCATTTCATATATTCAATCGAGGCTTATTGAGTGTTTCTTATGTGTTAGGATTGTCCTTCTGGTAAAGCCAAAGAGAGGAAGGACAGCAGCCAAGATTTTCCATGTACAGTTCCTAAGTGAACAAACTCCCAAAGGAGTTAGCAGTTGAGAATTGATGTTTTCTGCGGCAGCTGCCAGCTGCGAGGACACAAAAATGTCATAGCTTACTGATGACAGATGGAAGTAATGACTTGGGTTCAGAGGGAAAATAACAAGTATGTGGACCAACAACACAGAAAAGCTAAATTGCTTTCACTAGTTACATAATATTTAAGGTATGAAATAATATAAAAGTAACATTTTAAATAAAGTATGTAAATTACTTCCACTAGTTACATAATGTTTAAGGTATGAAATAATATAAAAGTAACATTTTAAATAAAAATATACTTTAGATAAGCCCTTCAGTGTTGCCAAAATACTAACAGATTTGAAAATTAAAACATTGTGATTATGAAATAGGTGAACACCCTCTATACACTCCCTATCTCTAGTGTAGTAGCCAACATGCTTTCTGTTGCAATGAAAGAAACCCCCTCAAATTGGTCTGAGCATAAGTGAGTATATCCTCTTGTGTAACATAAATTCAGGATAGGCCTGGACTTAAGATGAGGGATCCAGGTCTCAGCTGAGCTTGTCAGGTCTCAACTGTGTTTTTCACTATTCTGGATGTATTCTTTCATATGCATGTGGGCATTTCCCGCATGACAGAGACATTATACAGCAATGTTCCACTTAACCTGTGCCCTCACCTCCATAATACAGCAAGCAAAGAAAGCCCTTTCTCCTCCAAGTATAAATGTAAAATCCCAGGAGGAGATTGACCTGACTTTGGTTGCATGCCTTTACCTACTAAAACCAGATAGAAGGGATTTTAGGAATGCGTGGAGATTTCTGTGCCCACTAGGGAGTAGGGTCCTGGGTTAGCAACACCACCCAGATCACATGATCACTTGGCTATGAAAAGAACCACCTCCCCAGAGGAAGAATAGCTATGCATAGAAAGTCAAAGACATTCCTAAAGAGTCCAAACCTAAACTATCAATCTGCCTTATCTCTTGGTTCAGCCATGCTACATGTTCAGTGCTTGTTAAACTTTAACCTGCATCAGAAAAATCTGGAAGACTTGTTAAAACAGGTCACTAGAAACTACCTTAGAGTTTCCATTCAGTAGTCTCTTTCCAAGTGATACTTGTTGGTCTGAGGGCCAGACTTGAAAAGCTGTTCTAAGATATTTTTTACACATTTTAAAAGAACAGGTTTATTAGGAAAAGGAAAGAAAAAGATATGTACCAACATAGTCATGTTGTCAGGAGAGCTGCCTAGAATTTTATTTATTTTGTATTTGTCAAAAAAATCCAAGTAAATGCTAGTCATGGATATATTTCGCAGATAAAAACTTTCTAATCATCGGGGAACATACAATTCTGAGGCTGATTAACATGGCCTTGCAGAAATTTCTTAACCACTTGCCAATTTTTTCTTGTGTAACAGGGAGTGTAACATGGGAGTAAAGTCAGAATAGATGGGGAATAGATATTTGTCATTTCTATTTGTAGCTATGCAGCACCAGGATACCGAGTTTGTGTGAATCTTGGAAGGATATGAGGTCCCTTAGAAACACCATGTGCTCGCTTTTCCTGGCCCTGCAAGTACCAACCCAAATCTGCTGAAGCAGAGATTTTCACCTGGGACTCTTGAGGCAGGAATGAGTAATTCAAAGAAAGGTGTCTTGGACCTCAGTCTGGTGGCAGCTGTGGTAGTGGTGTTCAGAATCTGTACAGGGTGCCGATGCAACTAACTCAACTCCTCTTGGGGTTTAATTTTGCAGCTCTCTTACTTCCCAGTAAGCTGTGTAGTCAGGGGAATTCCCCTATCAAGTCAAGGAGAGATTACCACAAAACAGCCAAAGGAACAGCAACAGGGCAACTTGATAATGTGCCTAAAAAGGCTTAACATGTGTTCATACTGTTGTCTCAGCAGTTTACTTCTGAGGATTCAGCCTAAGAAAATAATGGGGGCTCAGAACAAAGATTGGTATGTAAAGGGAAGAAAATTTGCACCTGATCACAATGGACAACAAGCAGTGTCTCTTGTAAATAGGAAACTGCTTCCTTTTTTTTTTTCTCTCTTCTCCTTCTCCCCTCTCTTTATGCTTTTTTCCTTCTACTTTCTTTTTTTAAAAAATATTTATTTATGTGTATAAGAGCTGGGGTGTGGGCCAGAGGTGCAGGGGATTAGAGGATTCACCAGAGACAGAGTGGGGAACAGAACAGGAAGATCTATTGAAATACACTGCTGAGGGGAGCAGCGGGTGAGACAGGAGAGGTCTGCTGTACCCTCTGGGTCAACTCCCTAGCTGGGCTGCGGCTTACTTCATAGTGCTGAGACTTAATCCCTTGCACCACCAGAGGCCCTTCTACTTTCTTTTTACTTGTTTTCCTTCCACTTTCTTTATCACCTCTCCCTCTCTCCTTGTTTATCTCCAATAGCACAACATCTTCCTCTCTCTCTCTCTCTCTCTCTTTCATATTATACTTATTATATGCCTTTTGGTCATAAGAGAGAAGCTGGGATTTCTGAATAGTTGGGAATTTTTAGGATTGACTTTGAAGCACCAAGTAGTGAAAAACCCTTGAAGTAGGATCAAGAGATGTGGCAGGGGGAAGCTCTGAGGATGGGAGATGGACCCCAGTATCCTGGAAGAAAGTGGGAGCTTTGGCAAGAGAAATTCTTTATGGCTAAGAATGGTCAGTGAACTGGGTGGAAGATGGGTGGATGGGGAGCAATGTCAGATCAGCTGTACTCTGTTTCCCTTTCTCCAAGAAATTAAACTATAGATTCCCTAGAATTTCAATAAAAATCCAGAAACAGAAAAACCTAAAAATGGTGATTTTTAAAAAAAAAAGATTTATTTATGCATACAAGAGCTGGGATGCAGGCCAGAGGTGTGGGGGGTGAGAGGATTCACCAGAGACAGAGTGGAGAACAGAACAAGCAGATCTACTGAAATATACTGTGGAGGGGAACAGCAGGCGAGTCAGGAGAGGTCTGCTGTGCCATGTGGGTATCTCCCTGGCCAGGGATCGAACTCAGGCGCAGTGGCTATGGATAGCTTCTCAGGTAGTGTCTTCATAGGTTGCTCCTGTATGTATAAACAGGAGCATACAAGTGTGACCTAGAGATACCCTAAGAACATAAATAAGGGGGCAAAAACAGCAAACCTCCAAGAGAATTTAAACCCTACCTCATGGGCCTCCCTGATGGCGCAGGCGGTTGAGCACCACACTGTGAAGCTGTCTGCAGCCTCTGCAGCACTGGTTCAATCCTAGCCGGCCAGCGAGAATCCCATATGGCGCGGCAGACCTCTCCTGTCTCACCCACTGCTCCCCTCAGCAGTGTATTTCGTCAGCCTGCCTGTTCTGTTTCCTGCTCTGTCTCTGGTGAATCCTCTCAGCCTCCCACGCATCTGGCCTGTACCCTAGTTCTTGTATAAATAAATAAATCTTAAAAAGTAAATGAATAGGGCCTCCCTGGTGGTGCAGCGGTTGAGCGCTGGGTTGCGAAGCTGCCCGCGGCCTCTGCGGCGCCGGTTCGATCCCCGGCTGCTCCCCTACCACCGGAGGAGGGTCCCACATGGCGCGCAGACCTCTCCTGCCGCCCACTGCTCCCCTCAGCAGTGTACTTCAGTCCTTCTGCCTGCTCTGCTCCCCGCTCTGGCTCTGGTGAATTCTCTCACCCTCCCGTGCTTCTGACTATACCCAGTGCATATATAAACAAAAACAAACAAACAAACAAACAAACAAACAAA